TTCAATCATCTGTATTTTAACCTATGCCACAGGTTTCCTAACTTTTCTCTAGATGACATTAGTACCTGATTATTAATAGCTGCAGTAACACTCAAACCTCATCAGCAAAATTTCAGTCATTTTTTTCATGTTCTACATGTGGGATGTCCTTAGCTCCATAACTTGCATTGAAAAAGCACGAGTATAAGTATTTCAAACCACAGACTCTTCTATGCACTGGGTGCGTGTGAGGATGTGTTAAAGACTGCTGTAGGTACCAGCCAGTTCCTGGTATATGAAAAGGAGGTGGATCCCACACTCAAGGAATTAACGGGAAGAGGGAAAGATATGCATGCCAGCACACAAAATATCTACGCCTAATGTTTTATCATTTAGATTTCTGTCAGCTTCTTAAGCAAAAATACTTGAGGGGTCTTCCTGACCCTATATAGTAAGAACAACAGATAAAATTAACCTCACTTAACTAAATTTTTGTTTACTCACATGTAAACTTAGTAAGAGGCAGGGTTAAACCTCAACTCTCTGTCCAGAGCTCTCTTCACTATTATTCTGGTTTATTACTAACCACTGGCTTGCAGGAATTTAGCCTCCAACCCAACACTGGGGAACATGTATGTTATTATGACAAGGTCAACAGAAATAGGAAAGTCCACATTACATTGTTATTTGGGGAAAGGTTGTAAATAATTTCAGTAGATAGAGTTCTTGTCTTCATTTTTCCCAGTTTGTAGAGGTGAACTGCTTTGTTTGCTGCCACAAGTATCTGAAATGGATCGACAATCTACCAAACAGAGCAAAAAGAATTAATTACACATGGAGAATCTGCAGTGTGTGAAAACACTTGGCAACTCATGGTAACTCCAGTGTCAAGCTGTTTTACCTCATCACAATTCTTACGGTCTATATTTTCAAAACTATTATCCCAAGGGCCTGGATAGTCACAGAATTTTAAAGCTGCAAGAAACTTATGCAAATAGTAAAAATTTTTAAATAACATTAGTTGAGGGCTAATATTATGGCCAAGATCATATTTTAAACATTTTACTCGTATTATTTTTGTTAATCCTCAAAACTACCCTATGAAATTGATATCAGTAGTAGTAGTAATAGTAATAGTAATAGTGGTAATATGTAATTGATGAGTAAATCGAGGCAAAGAATGTCTGGGTTTGAATACCATCTCTGTCACCAATCACCTAGGGAATTTAGGCAAGTTCCTTAGCATTTTATTTGTTAGAGACAGATGAAACAGTTCACTTCATAAGGCTGTTGTGAAGATTAAGCGAGTTAGTATATGTAAAGCACTGGGAACAATGCTAGGAATGCAATGCACAGTATATAAAGCTTGGCTATGTCTTGTTCAAAGTCCTAAGTAGTAGGTCTGGGATTAAGTCCTGGTAACATGATCCCACTTTGTGTGTGTGTGTTTTTTTTTTTTTTTTTTTTTGAGACAGAGTCTTGCTCCGTCACCCAGGCTGGAGTGCAGTAGCTCAATCTTGGCCCACTGCAACCTCCATCTCCCAGGTTCAAGGGATTCTTGTGCCTCAGCCTCCTGAGTAGCTGGGACTACCAGCACACACCACCACGCCCACCTAATTTAGGAGAAATAGGGTTTCACTATGTTGGCCAGGCTAGTCTCAAACTCCTGGCCTCAAGCAATCCGCCCACCTCGGCCTCTGTGTGTGCTTTTAACTGCTACACTATGCCTCCTCTGCAGACTGTCTTGTTAAGAACCCCCGTTTTACCGATGAGAAGCTGGAGATCCAGGCATTTCCCATGTTAGAGCCAGATCACAACCTTTCCTATTTCCTAGGGCAGGACCTGGCTCTTCTGCCTCAATTCACTGTTACAGTCAAGGTTGGCTGCATCTGACTTAGACAAGAATTTTTTCCCTAAAGGTGACAGAATTTTAGGCTACCCTATAACATCATAAAAATTAATGTATACTTAAATGCTCCGTATAGCTCATTCATTCTTTTTTTCTTTGAGACAGAGTTTTGCTCTTGTTGCCCAGGCTGGAGTGCAATGGTGTGATCTCAACTCACTGGAACCTCCACCCTCTGGGTTCAAGCAATTCTCCTGTCTCAGACTCCCAAAGTAGCTGAGATTACAGGCAACCACCACCACACCCAGCTAATTTTTTTATATTTTTAGTGGAGACAGGGTTTACCATGTTGGCCAGGCTGGTCTTGAACTCCTGACCTCAGAAGATCCACCCGCCTCAGCCTCCCAAAGTGCTGGGATTACAGGTGAGATCAACCGCACGTAGCCAGCTCTTTCATTCTTAAAATTTATATTTACCACTGTAGGATTTATCAGTGATCCATCGATGGTCCCTTCCATGGCCTTTCTTCTCAAATCTCCTGCATTTTTGACATCTTTAAATAACAGAAGGGTCACCCTGCATTCAGGAAATAGGTCCAGCTGATGTGTTAACTGCATTTCACAGACAAGCAGGATTCTACTGCACACAAAATGAAAAGACCAAGAGATTTCTTTTGTTTAAAAGTTAACATTAGAACTCATTTCTTAACAAATATACAATAACTTTGACAGTAACATTGATTAAAAGTGTTAAACTAGAAAAATCCATCGCCAAAGCCCATTTGGCATCCTCATGAGATGTTGTATTCCTAACCCTGCTGAGCTGTTTCTAGTTTCACTGCCATTCCTGAGGAAAAGCCAAGGGACCTAGCTGGTTGCTGTTTATTCACATAAGGCAGGCTCAGATGCATGCTTGAAGAGCTGCTTCCCCAGCAGACAAGTAGGAGCAGAATGTTAGGAATTTTTTCTCTTTTTTTTTTTTTTATTGTACTTTAGGTTCTGGGGTACATGTGCAGATCATGCAGAATTGTTGCATAGGTACATACATGGCAAGGTGGTTTGCTGCCTTCATCCCCCCATCACCTATATCTGGTATTTCTCCCCATGTTATCCCTCCCCACCCTCCCCACTCCCTGCTGTCCCTCCCCTAGCCCCCCCAAACTGACTGCGGTGTGTCATGCTTTAACAACCATTAAAACATGTGGTCTTGATGGTGTGTAAAAATGGCAATAAATAACATTAAGTAAAAACATCTGAATGAAAAACACAAACTGTGGCCAAATCGTGGGCTTTTTAGAAAGCTTTTAAACAAATATTAAAAAGAAAACACACCAAAAAATTAATGTTATCTCTTACTTAGAATTACATTTGACTTTTTTTGTTTCAAACAGGAAAAAAAAATTTGTCAACAATATCCTGGCACACAGTTGAATCATTAGTCATGCTAAGGGGAAAAAATGGGTACAGAAAGATATAATTAGTAGCATACCATTTATATAAAAATATGCACATTTTTTAAAAACACATGAAGGAAACACACTAAAATATGACCATCTTGGGTAGTGAGATTCCGAGGTGATTTTTATTGTCCTTTATACAAAAGAAAGTATTTTGTTATGCATATTCTGAATTTTCTACAGTGAGCATACAAAACATGAGAACACATAATCAGAAAGAAAAAAATGTGGTTTTAACACTGAGTGCAGGAGAACCCTTAGAAAATCTCAAAATAGTTTGTTCTTGTTAAGTGTAATTCACTCACTCAGGCCAGAAACTTGGAATGATCGTTGAGTATCCAACCTGTCACTCAAATCCTGTATCTAATCCGTAAAGTCCTGAATTTTCACCTCCTGAATATACTTTTGATTCGTCCACTTCTCTCCCATATGTAGGCTAGGTCACCACCGCTCATCTACAGCGGTGGCCTCCTAACTGCTTTCTCACAATTCCTGCCCTCCTATAATCCAGTCTTCCCCCGCAGTTATAGTGATCTTTTCAAAATGTACATCAGAGCTAGTCGTTCTGCTGCTCTTATGATAAAGCGCCTACTTTGTGTCACGGTGATCCATACCGTAACATCTGGTCCCTGCCTCCTCTTCTGCTACCGCCGCAATGGCCTTCTCTAAGCTCAAGTCACCAAGCTTTCTCCCCGATTCTGTCCTATCGGACAGGTAGTTCCCTCTCTCATTTCAGCTCCGCCTGACGCACTCCTCCCTCCCTTCAACTCCATTTGGAGTCCATTTGCTACAGCGCCCAGAATCCCAGGACTAGGGCTCTTTTTAGTCTGAGGATTAGCTCCCTTTTGGCCCCAATCACACCGTTAAAGAATCGTGCGCCTATCCGCTGTATGTCTCCTCACTGAACGATATTTCTTGAGGGGACAGACTGACTCTATCATTCCCGTGCTCCATTCCCGGAGGCTGGCCTCGTTGGCGCTTGATAAACACCGGCTGAAGAACCCGCAGCCATTGTCCCAAGGCACTGTTAAAGCTGCCCGGACCCTCCCCTTCCCGAGCCGGCCTGTTAGGGTACAAGGAAAACTCACCATCCGGTCCCCAGTGAGTCTCGGAAGATCTCCCGCCCTGAAACAAAGCTCACAACATTTGTAAGCGATGGCCAATCCCCGTCTTCTTCGAGCCGGTTTCCGGATAGCCCGACCCGGGGTTGCCATGTTTTTCCGGGTCCAGGTAGGAGGGGTGCTTCCGCCCCTCGTCCCGCCCATTTTTCCGCCTCTCCAGCCTGTGTCACCTCTATGGACGCGAAGGAGAATAGGAGCTGTATGTCACTTCCGACGAAGGAAATTGAAGACTCTGTGGGCTGGGACCGGAAGCTGAGGTCTGGTTTCGAATCTCTGCTCTGTTTTAACCTGTGTTGGGCGGTGCACCGGGTGTCCTCGGTTTCTTCCTGTACAAGGAAAAATACTGACCAAGATGAGTTCTACATGGATTTTGCTGCTTCAGATTTCTTAGTTCTTTTTCAGGGCCTTGTCTCCTATGACACTTTGGACTTTAGAGTTTAATGCTGGAACAAGCTAAAACTTTGGGAGATGATTGGGAAGACATGATTATGTTTTGCAATGTGAGAAGGACATGAGATTTGGGGGTGCAGGAGTGGATTGATACAGTGTGAATATATGTCCCTGCCAAATCTCATGTTGAATTGTGGTCCCCATTGTTGGAGGTGGGACCTGCTGGAAGGTATTTGAGTCGTGTAGGTGGATTTCTCATGGCTTGGTGTCCTTGCAATAGTGTGAATTCTAGGGCGATCTGGTTCTGTAGAAGTGTGTGGCACGCCCCCAACACACACTGTCTATTGCTCCAGTTCTCACCGTATGATATGTCTGCTCTCCCTTCTCCTTCTGCCAATAGAAAAAGCTCCCTGAGGCCTCCCCAGAAGCCAAACAGATGCTGATATTATGCTTCCTGTACAGCCTGCAGAACCATGAGCCAATTTAACCTCTTTTCTATATAAATTACCCAGTCTCAAGTATTTCTTAATAGCAATGCAAGGACAGCCTAACTGGGGCAATGAGAGAGGAGACGAGGAGGCATGACACACTGGGCTAAAACATGAAGGACATTCAGCCAGGTGCAGTGGCTCTCGCCTGAATCCCAGCACTTTGGGAGGCCAAGGTGGGCAGCTCACCTGATGTCAGGAGTTCAAGACCAGCCTGACCAACATGAAGAAACCGCTCCCCGCCCCCGCCCCGCGTCTCTACTAAAAATGCAGAATTAGCCAGGCGTGATGGCACCTGCATGTAATCCCAGTTACTCAGGAGGCTGAGACAGGAGAATCGCTTGAACCTGGGAGGCAGAGGTTTCAGTGAGCCGAGATTGCGCCATTGCACCCTAGCCTGGGCAACAAGAGTGAAACGTGTCTCAAAACAAAGAAAAACGTGAAGGACATTCTATTTCTAGGAGAGACAAGAGGCTATTCTGGTCAGTCTTTATCACAGGATGTTACATTTCCCAGCACATTCCACAGTTATCCTAGAGAACCACAAGTGAGAAAGGAGAATGAACTAAGTTGGTCCAAGGCCACCTGGAGAACTGTCCTGCAGACTGTGCCCTTAATTCAGATTATCCCCCCTAGCAAAGCCAGTCCATTTCATATGCCCATCAACCTCTTAATATCTGGAGGCAGAGGTTTGTCTTATCACATCCAGGTAACACTGTGACAGACGCAATGTCAGTGAAACATTGTTAAGCCATAGCCAGAATGCATTTTACTAGGCCCCAGAGGACTACTCCACAAATAGCTGATCAGGTCTGCCTGGAGGAACAGCCTAGTCCTGGATCCAGTGATCCAGGTAACAAGTTGCTGAAGAGGTCAAAAAAAGGGTCCTTAAAGGGTCCCCAATATCTATAGCAAGTGGGCCTCCTCCCAAATCTACTTTTCTGTAATACAAGAGGTGTTCTCTAGGTACAGCAGCAGCTATTGGCAATCAAACACACTTGTCTCAGTTTGGTAAATGGAAGTCTAGAGTAATTCCTTTGTTTAATAGACTCCTCTTGGCCTGGTGTGGTGGCTCATGCTTATAATCCCAGTGCTTTGGGAAGCCAACATAGGGGGATTGCTTGAGGCCAGGAGTTCAAGACCAGCCTGGGCAAAATAGTGAGACCCCCCCCAATCTCTCCTAAATATTAAGAAAAATAGCCAAGTGTGGTGGTGTGCATCTGTAGTCAGAGCTACTTAGGAGTCTGAGGTGGGAGGATCACTTGAGCCCAGGAATTTGAGATTACAGCAAGCTATGATCATGCCACTGCAGTCTGGGCAACAGCATAAAACCCTGTCTCAGAAAAAAAAAATTCTCAAGGGAGTTGAGGAATGTCTGCTGGGCTGCCAAGGAAGTGGCAATAGAGGAAGCAGTATCTGCCATGCTCAGGAACAGATTTCTTATCTGTTTTTCCCGAGCACTGACTCATATGTGTGGTACCAAAAATCTCAAAAAGAACATGAACCAGGATCACTTATACTTCCTGACAATCGTCTAGTATGCCTGGTGTATGACTTCAGGCTGTTGGCCCACTGGTGTGACTCATTTCCAAGGGTCATATATACGGACACCCCAGCATGCCCAGTGTGCAGTATCCCACCGTTCATCAGCTTTTCAAGTACAACACTGACCACACCATATTTGGGTCACCCTGGACTGCTCACAGAGAAAAATGTAGTCCTCAGGTGCACATAGCATCCCTTCCCCCATTTTATTGTTCAGTAACCCATTCACATGTGTAAGGGCATTAGCCTTTGTCAGCAAAGTCTCAAATTAGTTATATGAACTTGGTTTCCCCTATTCAATATTGTTCATGAAGTCCCTACCTGGAAAGCTAACAGTAGTTCAATTCTTGTTTCCATTGCCAACACTGGGATGCTTCTCATCCAAGTAAAGGAACATAATGGGTCACAACTACCAGCCCACCGAAGTTGTTAGTTGTCATGATGTTTTGCCACCTTCGGCCAATTAAGTCTCCCTTCCTCCCCTGTGGCAGGTGCTAAATCCTCACTCAGTAAGCCACAGCTGAGGCTCTGTTGATACTCACTGCACCACTATAATACTGGTAGAGTTTACTAGTGGCAGGATGAGAAGGTTGCTGTAGTCTGTGACAGAATAGGGTCTGGGATGGCAGATCCAGTACTTTACTTTGGTGGCCACAGCTTGGGAGAGCCCAACAAAGGCATTATGCTTCCAAGCCTCTACTTTCACATCCTTGTGGAAAAAGCAGACTGACAGTGTCTGCCCCTTAGACTTCCTGCATCCTCAGGTATTCCCTACATCCTCAGCTATCCCATAGAGGCGGGCCTGAGTGCAGTGTCCCAGTCTTACTACTGCAGTCTCAAGACTACCCATTCCCCTTGTTGCATGACCCAGGCCTTTTGGCTTCAGTCCTTCAGTCCAGGTAGGGAGGTTTGTCTTGTACAAACTGGACATGTCTGATAAGGTTAGCCACCTGTGTGGAAGGATCAGGTGTTCCTGGTGCCACTAATCCTAACACCCTGGTACTCCTTGTTCCTGTCCTTTATCCCTGTGGATTTCACAGAAGAGAGGCACCTGGAGGAAGTATCACCTCTAGATTAGAGTCAGGGGGCCCTGTCTGGGGTGTTCTGGCAGCCTGAACCACAAACCACCTACAGGATGTGCGCTCTAAATGAAAAAAGAAAAAAGAATGATTGGGAACACTGAGATTGGAATTTCACAGTTGCAGCCAAATCAGGTAGTTACCTGGTCCACCTCCATCCACAACAAGTTCGGTGTTTCTCAAGATGTGTGCAGTGCTGTGTTTCCCTTGGAGCACAGTTCTTAGTATCCACTCTGCCCTAGTCAGATTGAGGTTCCACCCCGCTAGCAGGCTGTCCTGATGTCCTTTATTCAGTTGCTTTGTGAGTTGGCTGTTCCATCATTCAATTGCTCCATTGGCCTGTGGATGACAGAGTGCATGAAAAACCCACTGTATTGCATGATAGTGTGCTTACTGTCATGTTGCTTGGGCAGGGAGGATTTTCCTTGGTCAGAGTGAAATCCCATGTGGTATCCAAAACATGACATAAATCCTCTCAAGGGCAACTGTGGTAGTCAGAGCATCCACATGAGTGGCATATAGAGTCCCTTCCAACAGCAAGCTGTTGCCATAGTCCTTGTCCTCACACATGGGATCTTTTAATAGTCCAGTTACTGTTGCCATTCCCCTGACCAGATGGTTAAGCTGTTGGCAATGGCCTATGAATCAGTAAAAATGTGGCAAGATATGGTGATAGGTATAGGGCGATTGCCCCATGGTTATGGCTCAAATCCTTAGCTGTTAGGGGTCATAGCCGCTCTAGTGCCAGTGATGTTCTGTGCCACAAGCAACCAAAATGTCAATGCCTATAAAGCACTCAGTGGTGGGAACCATGGTGACTGACACCTGAAATGGCCAAAAGGGCCACACCAACAAGCAGATAAGCACCACATGCAGATAAGTACTGTGGGTCACTGAGTTAATCCACAAACTTCCTGGTGTCACCAGCTTAATTTTTCCCCTAAAGTTACCTGGAAATACTGTCATGTGGCCTTCAGTATCCAAAAACTCCAAAGAAGTCAGAATTTTCACCTTTCCCCATTATATCTTTTTTTTTTTTTTGAGACAGGTTCTCTCTCCATTGCCCAGGTTGGAGTACAGCCTCAACCTCCCAGGTTCAGACAATCCTCCAGCCTCAGCCTCCCACATAGCTCGGACTGCAGAAGCCCACCACCACAGCTGGTTAATTTTTAAATTTTTTGTAGAGAGGAGGTCTCACTTTGTTGCTTTCGCTGGTCTCTAACTGCTGGGCTCAAGGGATCCTCCTACCTTGGCTCCACAAAGTACTGGGATTATAGGTACAAGCCACTGCATTTGGCCTCATTTTATTTTGGCAGGAGTATAGAGCCATTGGCCTCTGGTGGGGATCAGAGACCTTGGCCCCATTCCTAACTGTGCCATTCAGCCCAGGACATTTGGGTTTGCAGTGTCCCTTTATCAGATATATTCATCAGCCAGGCTGCATGGATGTGTATATGTCAAATCTAATTGTATACTTATAAAAATATATATCATATTGCATACCAATTATCTCTCTAAGGCTGTTTAAGAAACACAAGAGACTACATCTTTGTACTGGAACCACTAAAATAAAAAAAAAAAAAAAGAAAACTGACAACACTAAGTACTGGTAAGGATGTGAGCAACTGGGGCTCTCATACATTATTCCTGAGATTCCTGAGGTTGCATGTTTAAAAATATTGCAGTCATAAGCTTTTAATTGTTCAGCCATGTGTATGACAGCTGGAAGTACCAGATCTCCCACTGATTTGACGTTGAAGTCCTACAAATACTTCTACCTTTTAAGAATATAGAAATGTCAGCTACATCCAACATAACAATTGATCAAGAATTACAAGTTTCATTTTTGAAACTGATATATGTAGTACAGACATTTTGCAAAAGTTTGCCAGTTCCTTATAAAATTAAATATACACTTACCCCACAACAGCATTCCCAGCACAAGGAAATAAAAAGAATTCACTCCAAAAACTGTATGCAAATGTTTATGGCAGCTTTGTTCAAAATTCAAGTATTGGTAAATAACCCAAATATCCTTCACCTGGTAGATGGAAAACAAATTGTGGTATACCCACAGCATACTCAGCAACAAAAGGGAATGAACTGTTGATCCACTCAGTGACATGGATGAATCTCAAAAGCATTATGCTAAATGAAAGAAGCCACATTGAAAGGCTATATACTCTGTTATTCCACTTATACAACATTCTAGAAAAGGCAAAACTACAGGGACAGAAAATAGGTCAGCATTTGCCAAAGTCTGAGGTTGGTGGGAATGGATTCCTACAAAATGCCGTGAGGGAATTTTAGGGGTTGGTGGAAGTGTTGTATATTTTGATTGTGGTAGTGGTGGTGATGGTTATAAACTATACATTTATCGGCTGGGTGTGGTGGCTCATGCCTGAAATTACAACTTTGGGAGGCTGAGGCAGGTGGATCACAAAGTCTGGAGTTCGAGACTAGCCTGCCCAATATGGTGCAACCCCGTCTCTACTAAAAATACAAAAATTACTGGGGCATGGTGGTGCATGCCTGTGGTCTCAGCTATTTGGGAGGCTGAGGCAAAACAATTGCTGAACCTGGGAGGCAGAGGTTGCAGTGAGCCGAGACTGTGCTACTGCACTCCAGCCTGGGAAACAGAGTGAGATTTCATCTTAAAAAAAACTATGCATTTGTCAGACTCATAGACTGTACAGTAAAAGATGAATTTTACTATTTATTTAAGTCATCTCAGATAAAAATGATCCCTTATGGCTTGTAAGGGTTATGTATCATAAAATTAGCTCAAAATATCTAATTTGACAAGGTTTTAAATGAGAGCTTTCAAAAGGATATCATCTTTATTCTCCTTTGCAATATGTAGACTTGCATAAATATGCATAACTATTACCATGTGTTAAAAGGAACCTAACCTTGGAAGTGTTATCTGAACAAATGGATCAGGTAAGATAGCCAGACTCCAAACATGATTCCCATGTCTTGTGAAAATAGCCTCGAAAATGAAATTGTTATGTTGGATGTAACTGACATTTCTATATTCTTAAAAGGTGTAAGTATTTGTAGAACTTCAATATAAAACCAGTGGGTGATCTGGTACTTCCAGCTGTCATACACATGACTGAACAATTGAAAGCTTATGACTGCCAGATTTTTAAACAAATATCTGGGTGTCTTAGCCTAGGTCCTCTAGAAAGCAGAGCCCAAGGCAAGGATTAAAGCACTGGTATTTTATATGGGATATGTGAGAACAGAGAGATGAGGGCGAGGAAAAAGGTAAGTGAAGCAAGGAACGATACATAGCAATATGATGTGATGCATTATCTTGCCACAGCCTTCACAGTGAGCCCGAAGACACCCGGGTTGTTTGGCAAGTGCATTTACTTAGCCAAACGCATTTGCCAAACAACCTGTGCATCTTCTCTGGAAGACATGCAAGGCAAAACCATGGCTGAGAGGAGTCTACAGTGGGGAGACAGGAGGGGTGTTTGCCTACCAGGCTCCCTCCTGTCCTCTGCGTTTCACTGATGAAGGCCCTCAGAGGGAGCTGACTCCTCCATACTTCTGGGTCATCACCTCACCTGCCAGCAGAAGCTCGAGGGGTTGATGGGATTGATGGAATCTGAGACAGTGCCCCAGAATTGGTGTTTCATAAAGAATGAGATATAAATGAAACAAATGGTAAATAAATACATAAGGTACCTTGCCAAGAGAGGAAGGGCAGGGTGTTCATGATAATGTAGGGTGGGAGAGAAGGCTTTACTTACTGAGGAGATGAGCTTAAGAATGTGAATGATGGGCTCACAGAGACCACAGGAGAGAAATTACAGCCAAGAGAACAACCCAAAAAACAAAGGACATGGTGCCATAGCATGTATAATACAGTGCACTCAGGAAGTGGCTGGCATCCTGAGATATGGAGTGGAATACAGTACAGGGCTTTGTAAAGTCAGCTTGGAGTTAGATCACAGAAAGCCTTGACAAGGAGCTGAAAATGGGTTTTAAAGACCAGAAGCTGTTCAAGATTTCCAAGAGGGGAAAACACAAATCAGCTTGTTTTCAGGACATAATTCTGGGGCAGTTGCTAGCATTACATTGGAAAGGAGGTTCAGACAGGATTCTAGAAAGTGCCTCCCTTCCATAGTGGAAGTGTTTGTGGTGGACAAAAATTAAAATTTCAACGATGGTAACCATTGGAATGAAGAAAAATAAAACTTAAATGTGTGCAGCAGGAGGAAAGTAAACAAAAACCAAGCTGACTAACCACCGTATTACAACTCCAGCATGACAAGACTAGAGCGTCCATCATCAACTTTTAGTGCCTCAGTGTTAAGTGTGGACAGATGAGTAGTAAACTTGGTCATCAGGTATTGCAAGAACATGTCCAAGAGCAGAGACAGAGGTATAAACACACAGGAGAAGGAGAAGAAAGAAAAAACAGTTGATTCAGGGAAATTTAAAAATAATTGACATTAGTGAGATAAACATAATGAATTTACTTTTCTAATAGCATTTTTTTCCAGAAAACAAAAATGAGCTAGCTCTCGGAAATTAAAATAATAGTGCAGATAAAAATATATAGCAGAAAATTTAGATAGCCAACAGAAAGGTAGAAAATATAGCTGAGAAAATCCTCCTAATTTTTTTAAAAAGGCAAAAGGTTAATAATGGAAAACAAGAGAAAAAAATAAACTTAAGAGATACATTTCAGAAAATCCCACATTCAACTGATAACACCCCCCCCTCCAAATGTGATAAAATCAAAATATCCCAGAACTGAAGCAAATAAGCTGCGAGATTGAAAAAGCTTACTAAGTATTTAGCATTATGAATTAAAAAGCACCCACACTGGCCGGGTGCGTGGCTCATGCCTGTGATCCCAGCACTTTGGGAGGCTAAGGCAGACTGATCGCTTGAAGTCAGGAGATTGAGATCAGCCTGGCCAACATGGTGAAGCCTCGTCTGTACTTTAAAAATACAAAAATTAGCCAGGCATGGTGGCACTTGACTGTAGTCCCAGCAACTCAGGAGGCTGAGGCAGGAGAATTGCTTGAACCCAGGAGGCAGAGGATGCAGTGAGCCGAGATTGCACCACTGCACTCTAGCCTGGGCAACAGAGCAAGACTCCATCTCAAATTAAAAAAAAAAAAGAATCTGTAAATGCCCCTCTAACAGTGGCTATCATCCATTGTCCCAGCCATCAAAATGGAGACTCCCGAATAGTCAAAGGAAATCAACCTGCCAACCTGCCAGCCAAGAAAGCCATAGAAGCATTGGACTTGGAGGCTTTCTTAGCCCCACTAATACCTCATGTCGATCTGACCAAGTTCCAACCTTGCCAAAGGATACTTAAAGTAAGCCACGGAATGGGGATTCACATCCCCAGCCCTGGCCCATCCAGCTGGAAATGTAATCCAGAATACATCATATTGGTTTGCAGTGCCCTCCTTAAAGATATAGTGAGCCAGTTCCATCCAAGCATCTATTACGGAAGAGATGTGACCCTTCAATGCCTACATGAGTACTTGATTGACCGAGACATGCAACAGCTCATCCAAAATGTGATCCATCAATGCATGCTTCATGCACTAAAACTGGACCCTGCCCCTTTTTGGGGTAAAACATCGAGGGGACTCTCCATGCAAGAATTGGCAAGTTAATTTCACCATAATGCCACGGGCACCTGGAGGCTACTGGGCATCTTTTTGTACAAAAACCATCTTTTGGGTTTTTTGTAGACACATTTACAGGATGGGTAGAGGTATACCCTATCCGAACAGAAAGGGCAGCCAAAGTGACCCACACCTTACTAAAGAGATAATTCCGCAACATGAATTCCCTTTGATGAGTCAGAGTGACAATGGTGTTTGTCTCTCAGGTAGTACAGGAAGTGCCTCAAGTCCTAGACACTGAATGGAAACTTCATGCAGCACAGCCACAGCCCACTGGAAAGACTAAAACACTGAATCAAACTATTTAAAGAAGAACTAGACCAGGTGTGGTGGCTCACGCTTGTAATCCCAGCATGTTGGGAGGCCAAGGCGGGCAGAATATTTGAGGCCAGGAGTTTGAGGCCAGCCTGGCCAAATGGCAAAACCTCATTGCTACTAAAAATACAAAAAAAGTAACTGGGCGTGGAGGTGTGTGCCTGTGTTCTCAGCTGCTTGGGAGGCTGAGGCATAAGAATCGCTTGAATGCGGGAGGTGGAGATTGCAGTAAGCAAGGATCATGCTACTGCATCCCAGCCTGGGTGACACAACAAGACTCTTGTCTCAAAAAAAGAACAACTGCTGCTAAAATGTGCCAGAAAATTAATCTAACTTGGGACAAAGTACTACCTTCTCTCTTGCTGAGGATTTGGGTCGTTCCCTGAAACAGGCTCCAGTTGAGCCCTTTAGAAATTATATATGAGGGACCTTTTCTTACCCACCTTGAGGCTAAGATCAGGCTATAAAATCTTAGAAAGGGAAGGAGCTATTAGACATTATTTAAAATTGCTAAATGAAATACTGACTTCTCTTCATCAGTTTGCTTCTTCCCCAGGACGTGCCACTTCATCCCTTACAGGCTAAAGACAAAGTACTACTTAAAACCTGGAGGGAGACTGGACTGGATCACCAACTAGTCCCTCAAAGGGTAAGACTGTATGAGGTCTTTCTGACCACGCATTCATCTATTAGGTGGGAGCTGAACCATGGGTGCATTATACCTGGATAAAAATCACCCCTCCTCAGCCCAACCTATCAGGTTAATTAACAGACCTGAATGGATATGTGAACCAACTAAAAACCTGAAGCTGCTTTTTAAGAAAATATCGAGAGACAAATAATGCCTTCTGTCATTTAATTATGTGATTCCTGCTAAGCACCACAGTAATATATGGCTTGTAGTGTCTGCTGAAACCAATCTTTTCCTACAACGGGCACATTATGCAAATCACCTACAGAAGCTCATTGAGTTTGAGGGCTGTTACCTATCTCTAGCACTTCTGTATTACCTTATTAAGTCTTGCCCTTACAAGGAAACGACTGGATACATTAACAAACTTTTATGAAAAACTATTCCAAAGAAATTCAGGTCATCAGGTCTCTGGTGTGCTAACATGAGGAAATATAAGGCTATGGCCTGGCATGAATAGAGCGCTTCACAACCCAGGTCACAGAAAATCTTTTACTATAAATCAGACTGTTCAACAAACTTCTGAATACACTACTCCTTTTATGAAAGAATTTCCCTCTGTCCTGTCGCCAGGCTGGAGTGCATCTCAGCTCACTGCAACCTCCGCCTCCTGGGTTCAAGTGATTCTCCTGCCTCGGCCTCCCGAGTAGCTGGGACTACAGACATGCACCATCATACCCAGCTAATTTTTGTATTTTTAATAAAGATGGGGTTTCAACATGTTGACAAGGATGGTCTCCATCTCTTAGCCTTGTGATCAGCCTGCCTCAGCCTCCCAAAATGCTGGGATTACAGGCATGAGCCACCACATCTGGTCAATTTTGATACCTCTTTATGACTTAACAATTCAAAGGATGTATGGTTTTTATCAACTGTCTCCAAAATAATCTCTTGTTATGCAGGGAGTACAGTTCTTTTCCTTCATACATAAGTTCAGTAGTTGCTTCCCTAACTGCAAAGGCAATGTTATTTAGTTGAGTATCTGGGATAGTGTTATAGTCTTAAGATTTGTTTTCTAAAGTTGATACTGTGGGTTATTTTTGTGAACAGCCTGATGTTTGGAATCTTTTTTCCTCAAAATAAGTCCTTATTAAACCAGGACTTTGGAGGGAACAAAAAAGCTTCAGAAATGAAGACTAAACTAAAAAGAACACAAGAATGAACAGGCTGGGCATGGTGGCTCACACCTGTAATCTTAGCACTTTGGGAGGCCAAGACAGGTAGATCAGTTGAGGCCAAGAGTTCAAGACCAGCTTGGCCAACATGGTGAAACCCTGTCTCTACTAAAAATACAAAAATTAGACAGGCATGGTGATGTGCACCTGTAATCCTAGCTAATCAGGAGGCTGAGGCACAAGAATCACGTGAACCCAGGGTGGAGTTTGCTGTGAGCTGAGGTTGAACCAGTGCAAATCCGGCCTGGGCAGCAGAGTTGAGACTCAAAGGAAAAAAAAAAAGAATGAATGAACATAATATATAAAACCTTTTTAAAAAGAAGAAATTTTTAAAAATCAAAAAGTTAATAAAAAGGATTCTAGAGAAATGGCAAATATAAAAGATAGGCAAAAAAGTCAGGACGGTTCTGAAAAGAGTAATGGAAACACACATAGAAATGTGGTATACATAAAAGTGACATTTCAAATCAATGGGACAGATTATTCAGTAAATTGTAATTCATACATGTTGGGGTAAAAATAAATAAATAAATTCTCTGAAAGAATCCTTAAAGTGGCAAAAGTAGATGCCCCTAAGGGAGGCGGTAGGCGGTGACTGCGAAAGTTGGGGAAAGGGTGAATTTCCATTGTCACCATTTTATATCTTTCCAGTGTTCTGTCATGTGTATTTATTACCTTTGAAGTCTAAAATGCCTGAGTTCAAATTCCAGCTATTGCTAGCACTTGCTAGCTAGCTCTTAATCTTGGACAAATTCTTAAGACTCTCTACCTCCTTATCTGTGAAATGGGGTGAATAACTTAGCCAGGTGCTGCCTGGCACAAAATAAACTCAATAAATATAGATTGCTAGTGAAAACACCCAAATGTCTAGTAACAGATGAATGGATAAGCCAATGTGGTGTAGTCATACAATGAGAATACTATGCCACATGAAAAAGAATAAAGTTCAGAGACACACTACAACATAGATAAACCTTTAAAACATAGTACTAAATGACTAAGCAAAACAAGCAATAACAAGGGGAATGGGGCATGCTAGGGTTTGAATATGCTCTTTTGTTGCTGTAATTCTGTGCCTCTGTGCATTAATATTTGGATGCATGCAATGCCAGCATGGAAATTGGTCTTCACACTTACTGCAGTTTTCCAGAAGCACTCACAAACTGATAAATGTAACAGACATTCCATTTGTTACTGGGCATGTGTGAAAAAGCAGTGTAGAAAATAGGCTAATATTAGAAAATGGTTAAATCCTTAATAACTTCAAGTGTGGTTTTATAATGGATGCTGTCAATGTGCATAACTCAAACCTGGGTACCTGGTCAAAATAATGCTTGGGAAACATTAAAATTGAGATAATTGTAAAAAATAAATATAGAAAATAAAATAAAACATGTTACTGAACGAAATAACCCAGATACCAAAAGCCACATATTGTATGATTCCATTTATATGAAATGTCCAGAAAAGGTCAATCCAGAGATTGGTGGTTGCCTGGGGCCAGAGGGAGGTGGGAATGAGGAGTGACTGCTAATGGGTAGAGGGATGTTTTTTTTTTTTTTTTGCAGGGGATGATGAAAATGTAATGGCTCAGATAGTTGTAATGATTGTACAACCTTGTGACATAC